ACCCAGACCTTCTTGGAAAAACAATTATACATTACATGAAAGCTTTCCATTTGTACTCTTTTAGTGACATTAACACAAGTGGTTGATCATTGTGGTGGGTTTCTTCTGAAGGTACAACAGCTCTCTAGCAGAGCTCATTACAATGATCATCTAACATTTACCATTATCTAATATGATGTCTAACTATGCAGTCATTCTTAGTCTATTCTTCATAGTTTTCAAGTTTGGATAATGCCAATTGCATTCTTTTTATAGTAGCTCTTTATGAACAGATTAATTACCTGCTTCTATTGAAAAAATTGGACTGGTTAGGAAGTCTTTTCTAGTGACTCATTGGACCACCTTAATATATCCCAATTTTGTTGCTAGACTAGAATTACATAACACACTCATGTATTAGAGGGAAGACAGACAAAGAGAGAATAGTAAATTTAGGAAATCATTACAATATTAATACTGTATTGCTATATTAAGAAATATTAGAATACAGTATCATAAAGTTACTGTAAAAACCCAGTGTTAAATGTAATGAAACAGAAAATTGTCACCGACCACACCAGCAGAACAGCAGAGACAAAAAAATGAGCACTGCCATGTAGCAAGGCAAACATCCTTCAAACACGCAAGTAGTGAGTGAGAGTTCAGCGGATTGATCCATTATACGAGAAGTGTTGCAGACCCATGAGGTTTACGAGGAGCGGAATGAATAACCAAGCAGGACACTCAAGCACTAGGGATGCTCACTGATACTGAATGTAGCCTGCAGAATTAACACGGCTACGAAGGGTGTCATTGGCATGCCATATGAACAACTGTGCAAACTCTAGTGCACCCTATAGCAAAAAGTTCTAAATGGCTCCAACCACAGGGCTTTGCAGAGGAATAGAGAGACTCTTGCACTACCCAGAGTAAGGCACTCTACACAGCAGCATAGCTGCTCAGGGGCAAACACCCAAACTCAGCAAAGTCACTCTGTCAGAGCAGGAGCAACACTAAATGAGCACTTGGGAAGAGCTGCCCTAAACACAGGCATCTCAAAGTGAAGAATACACCAAGTCCATGTAACAAGCAAGGCTCGAAACACATGCTTGTGAAACAAATACCAAAGTCAGAAACAAAATGAAAGCAAATGGTCCCTACAGGGCACTGTCTAAAGGATGGCCTGCACTTATCTTGGAAAGAAGCGAGACCTTCTACAACTGGAGCTTTGGGGCAGGTGTGTGTGCACAGACATCAGCCACAGGAAGGAGACAAAAATGGTGCGGAGGCCGAGAGCCTTTGGTGGAGCTGCCTCCTGTTGGCAGCCAGTAATAACTATGGGAGTTTGGGCTAGTTTCCGAGTGAATCGTTTGTAGTCATTTGGTTGTTTCAGTTCTTCATTTTATGTAAACCTTGCCTGTACTGTCGGTATTGTTTTGCTTACTTTCTGGTTGTTTTCTTGGTGACGGTAATCATAACAATCCTGTGCTCCATGCTTTGAGGTGGCCAGGTTCTGGTTCTAGTCCCTAGTAGGCAATATTGGTCTCCAATAGCTTATGTGACTCAATAGGGAAGAGTGGAAGAGTGAGAAAGTGAGATAGCGAGATGGTGAGCAATCTCACCGAGAAATTTGGTGAGATAGCTTCAGGGAGCCACCATTCGGTCCCTCCAGAAATAATTGATCCTTGTTTAATAGATCAAGTTAAACAATTCTGTTTATAAAGCACCATACATAAACACTCACCAACGTGGCACAAACATTCTTAGCTTAATTTGTGACAACCATAAAAGAATATCATAAAGAAAACAAAGAGAATAGCGCTCAAGGGAATACTGCATATCATCAACATCGTAATGGTGTGTTGATGTGTACAAGCCTCGCGAGGAGCACCATTATGTTACACCATATCACATGACATAGGATATACTCTATATACAACATTTGGTTCAATTAACTCCTTTAGTGAGTTATTGCACCTATCCAGATGCTGGTATATAAAGAACTGGAGATTTTCAGTTAATGATAATTTTGAAAAAGACAGTTTGAACTGCACAAAATATTGAAGCAGTGTCCCAAGCCACAAAAGACATTTTTGTTAAATTAATCATTATACTCTACTATATATGAGTTAAAACTTTACATTATAAATATGAATGAACTTTAAAATTGAGCCTTCTGTCAATATCAGCCACCTAGCCATTACAAAATGACAAACTAATATGGTGCTATAAAAGAACTGATGTGAAATAAAATGATTATTAAGGTAACTGAAAGACACAATACTCACATAAACTAAGGCACTTAAGAAAATTCTGATACTAGAGTAAATGCTGGTCATCTTTTTGTACCTGTATTTCCATTTGAATATTTACATTGGTATGTTGATTTGCACAATCTTGCAGGTTGACAAGATTGTCTGTCTCCTTCACACACCCTCCCATCTATGCCCAACACATTCCCCTTCCATACTGCCAACTGTACCACCATACCACTATACCTTGCTTTCCTCCATACCACCACTTTGCTTTCCACCATACCACCATTTCCACCACCATCCACCATCCACCACCATCCACCGTCCATACCACCACCATCCACCATTTCTTGCTTGCACCATACCTCCATACCATCACCTTGCTTTCTCTCACACCATTTACTCTACTTATGTGTACTCTCACCACCAAGAGTATTCACATTGCTTCCTCTCTCTCTCTCTCTATAACATAGTTCTTACATCCTGGACAATCGGCTAAGTCCCTCAGACCACACAGATTTAAATTCCCACTCTCTCTGCTTCCCTCTCATCTTGTCTCCCTGACTACTCTTGCCCCCCAGGAAATTCTAACCAAATATTGCAACCCGTCCTCCTGTTTAGACAGTACTTTTTGTAACTATGTGGACCATCATACATACTAGATGAAATTGACAAATACTGTATATAGAATTTGGCACTATTCACTTTACAGCCCCCCCACAAAAAAATAAAGCTAAAATTAATCTTAAATATTTGAAGGCCCAGTATAGCACATATATGTACAGTACTATATTAACCCTCAGATAGTGTGTATTAGGCCTAGGAAGGTTAGGTTAAGTTTTCTTTGCAACATCGGTACAAAAACTATTCCGGTTTGTCCAAATTCAATTTCTATTTTCTAATTGTCTTTTATGTCAATAGAATGGACCAAGACGGACCGAAACGTCGTTGTCCCTTCATTTTCTAGTGTGTGGTCTGGTCAATATATTTCAGCCTCGTTATTGTGACTCATCATCTGCTTATGTCAATACAGTAAATGTACGATGGTCCTCATCATTACTACCTGAACAAGAGGATGAGCTGAATACTGGCATATTTACTTACATGCAGATGAATCATGACAATAATGAAATAAAGAGTACCATAAAATCAACATATAAGCTACACAAGCAGGAATCTTAGTCTCTCTTACAGACCTGCCATATAATAACATTTCTTAATTTTTCTTCTGCAGATAACAAATGTCAAGATACGAAGCTCTTTACATTTGACAATGAAGCCAATTTCCAACATTTAAAGTGCCGAATATGATGGAGAAAAATAAAAATATAACTGATAAACTATAAATAAAAATATTTATGAAAATAACTGAATTAATCAATGCCATTATGCTTGGAAGCACAAACATAATTATATGGTTAAAGGTAAAATAAAGTGATTGCGTGATACAATAGAAGCAGCTTTAAGTTGCATCTTAAGATGTAACTGATAAACAGTACTGGAAAAAATGGCAACATCTTAAGGTACAGTATTCCTCAATAGGCGCACCAAACAATGAGAATAAATAGCCACAGTAGAGAACATACTGGGCAAGGTTCAACACTGGTCAACATATAAGCACCGTAGGTTCAAACAAAAATTTCTCTTCACTATGTTTTAATGCAGACATTCATAAATGCCTTTGTGTAATTTCAGATTATTATGCTTTTAGTCTATGGATTAATGGTTAAGGTATTATTAAATACAATCTAGTCCAGTTCAGGGAGTGTATGGGTTTGTGCCGGCAATTACGCAAGTAATATGTGCCAGTGCAATCACTTCTTGATACAGAAACTATTATGATAAAAAATGAATCAATAATTCAAAGCATTGTACCTCACAGTTCTATACAAGTCTCAAAATTATTGATGATAGTTATCATTATCGTAGGTGTCCTATAGGATTATTTCAGGCAGTTTAACACCTCTCCAGAAGCTACGGGTATATAGCTTTCTGAAGAGTTATGTACAATGCTCTGCCTCACGTTTTTGTTATCAGGCTAATGACCCAGCTGCTGTCACACTTACGAGAGTATGTGCAATAATGATCATGATAATCAAATACAGACTATGAATGGGTATTAGTATAGATTCTCGATGAATTTCTTCCACAAATAGAAATAATGGCAACATTTTAATTCTATGCAGCTTTCCAAATTAATACGTGAAATTACTGTATCTTAAAAGTTGGAATTATGGCATGCATTTATTATGTACCACAACATTCAATCTATGCCAGTTTCTGTTTAACAGCATTGTACGACTGTCAAGAGGTTTGATGCCGAATGATACTGATACAATATAATAATGCATATGTTGATATCACCTCTTGCTGTGATGCCACTGCGTACTGTGATATCACTGTGTGCTGTTAACATGTTTTTGGCAAAATGATCTTATTAGAAAATAACATCTATTTATACAACTTTTAATGTAACTGTGATAATGCTAATACAACAGCTGAAAATACTATACACAAAGGATTACCAGTATATGAAAAATAAATTTGTATAGTGTTTTTTTGAGACTTTTCAATAATCACTACTAAATTATACATTCTTATTTCCACATGGTCAAAATAAAGACGTTTCAAAATCAGGAAAAAATACAAAACATAATAAAAAAAACATAAAAATAAAAATAAAATCTCTACCACGTGACTTTATTGCTAACATTCTGAATCTGGAGATTTTTTTTTACCAATAAGAGCAAAGCAAAGACATGGAGATCAACTTTATTAATTTATTAAGTTATAAGCAATTTTCATACAAACTGTATATACAGGTAGTATTTTGAATATAAAAATATTTGATTATTACAGCTTTAAAAATTAATTCCTAACAAAACAAGGCAAACTGACTCTCAAAAACTGTATTATAAAAGAATGTAGGTGGTTGTGGAGGTTCAAGGGGAAGACTATAGTGGGATGATAAGACTCGTTCTCTTCTTGCCACCTCACAGTGGTGTTCGTCCACGTAATGTGAACAAACGCACGCGTGTGTGTGTGTGTGTATTTGTGTGTGTGTGTGTGTTTGGGAGGGGGGGTGGGAAGGGCATATGACTTATTTTCTGTAAAAGAGATGCATGTTTTTATGTCTTTTGTTAATACCTTTATCAGCACACTTTGTGAAATGCGAGTATTTCAAAGCTTTCTGATTAACATAAATATGCCATTTTAATACTGAGAATTTGCTGGATCCTGCCACATTCATATCTTGCTGAAAATGTGTCCTATTAATGATACCTCATTCTAAAAGTGCTTATTATATTTATCCAAATACATTAGCCCTTAGTATGAAATGTACTCCAATTATATTACCTTAAAAAAATGAGTTTTTCTAATGCTGATGAATAAGTCGATGAAACACAAGTGATGCTGATAAAAACCCAAAAAGGAAGCCATTCTGAAATATGCATCATCAGCATCAAAATACTTAAACCACTCTGCTACTGGCATCACCATCAGCAAAGCTTTACCCTAAATATGGTAATTATCAAAAAGACAATTTTGATACCATTTCATGGGCTGCTTATTTAATAACTGTTAAGTCCTCTGTATGACAATGCGATACCGAATACAGTACTTGATGATGGGATACAGGATGAGGATAAGTGTCAGAACACTTTCTCTCTAGCGCTTAGATATGTGGTCAATGTCTAATATTTCAAGACAAACTTGATTAGCATGGATATCCCTTTCAAGTCCAAGCAGTTCAAATGTAAATTTTAGGACTTATTAGATCTATTCCAATAGCAGTGATATAAACCAATTTGTCGATAAGAATCAAACCATAAATGTTCCTCGAAGAGTAACATTCCATAATATATGAAGCGAAAAGGGTGAAGTAGTTGTGTTAATTTTAAATGAGGGGTTGAGAGTGGTCTAGCAATTATGAGTTAACATCACAGTTCTCTAAATGCTACAATAACAATTACTGTATTGGTAAATCATTTTTCCAGTTACATTTATCTGATGATTCAATTTTCTATTGCAACTGATAAAATATCTTGTTCCAGGGCATTACGGTAGACATTGCTGCCTGCAATCATCATCTTCCTTTCAAACGAATAGTGAGAAGAGAAAAATAGTAACAATTTCTGTAACTATTTTACACAAAGAGTTACTACTGTTACACAAATGAACTGTGTACTGTATCAACTTTTTGTCTTGTGATCAAATAAGGTCTATTTGTTGGCATTACGTAATTTTCTTGTAAAGAACTTAATATTAGCCAAGAAGTGACCAAGAATCTCTTACTGTAAACTCATTTGCTTGAATCTCCAGACAAATACCAATGAGACTTGGAAATCCAATAAGAACCAAGTTCAATCTCAAACATGAGTCGTCTTACTTTCACGATTACATCACCAGCTTAATTCCCCAAAATCTTGTTTTAGTTAAATTAAAAAAGATAAAATGTCTTTCTACCAATGCATTTTATCTATCTTGTAAAGATATTTTCTAAATACATATTATTTGCTTAATTTTTCAAGGCACAAAGTAGACTGTAAACGAGTGAAGAGAACACCACACGTAAAGGAGAGACCAACATGTATCACATTTCAATATCATGACTTCATGGGGAATGACTGGGAATGGATATACTGTAGTGCGGGGCGTTGATTGGAAGGACCAACGTGTTACATGGAAATCAATTGCCAATAAGTAAACTTATCAGAAATCCACAATAAAGGGGCTTGCCTAAAGCATAATTTTTGTAATTTGTAATGAAGTTGTTACAAATATCAACTTATGTAAATGCTATGCCATTTTTTTCATAAAATTATATTTATACTAAAATGGTTTCGATATATATATATATCGAGTTGTAAGCACAACAGTTGTGCCAGACCGTCTCTGATCTGTGCCAACATACTCATGTTCTTGCTAGTCTTAAAGTTATACTGTATGATCATTCCCCTGGCACACAACCTTCTGATATTATACCCGACCCCCCATGACCTGTTCCTTGTTATTCCCAATTCCAAAGGCTGTCGTAAAAAAAACAGTGAATACACTAATGTTTCTCCTCTGCATTTGGGATTGTCTTCACTCACCTGCTACATCATGTGCAGCTTAAAAACAAAAACAAAGTCTTTCATTGGCATAGTTCTGACCATTAATGGACACAATGGAAGCAAGTTGTGCAACATTTAGAGCCACCGCAGTATTTCCCGTGCACACCTTGCGGCGTCTACCACCACACCAGTCAATACTGAACCATAATACTCTCAGATGGTGCACAATAATCAGGCTCCAACTACTCAACTTCCCATGGCTATAAGGTTACCGTGTAAGTTTAATTACCATAGAGTTTCTGAAATCATTTGACTATTTCTAAAATATTTACTAGTACAGTACTTTTGTTCAGGTTTGGCTCATTATAACACCACTAGTCATCTGGTGAGGTAGAGGTCAGTGCTTTTGCTCATGACTGTATAAAACCATTAAGTCTACATATAAAGTTTTACTAAATATTCTATATACAGATAAAGAAGTTCACCTGGTGTTTCGCGCCTTCCAGTTTTCAAACTTAGTATTAGCGATGTGAAACATTTCTATAAGGTGGTCTAAAATACTACTATTGCAGTTATAATCGTTTACTGCCATTTCCTGAAATGGAGAGAAAACACACTTATATTTTTTGCTACCAAAGTGTAAATATAATTTCCACATGTACATTTTTATTGCACTTAACTTTAACAATATCCGAGTAACGCTTCAAAACACTACCGTCACATGCAGCCTGCACGACAACGCACCTGGAATGGTCTTATAGTAACGTTGTGGTATCGACAGAGTGTCTCGTGCATCTTGTGGAGTTTCTCCTGTAACTGCGGAGTTCTGGGAGGGAAGCACGACCAGAAGTGACGCAACAGTTCACCAGCACTGCTATACACCTGACCCAATTCTTTATGCAAATTGCCTGGTAATTGATCTCCTGAAATGTGTCACACATATCAATAATGCAACTACTGTAACTCTCCTTTTATCAACAGCACATGTTCAGCATACAAATATGAAGCCTCGACACAATTCATATTACAGTATAAGGCACATCTCATTCACATACTGTATTTATAATAAAAATAAAAAATATTAATTAATCAAATGTAATGCAAGAATGACTCCACTTATTAGTAAATAAGAAACGAATCTCCAATATTTTTTAGTCAGCTACCATTCATCAATTATCAAATTTGCTGGCATATAAGATGCATCTATTTACCCTTAAAGTACAGCTATCATTCATCAATTCACAGTGCAATGCGGTTATCATACTTAATTTAAACTATTATAGTCTGGGGTTTACACCAATGATGCTATTATGAATATAATTGCTCAATGTGGACATATTGGAGTTTACCTTGACCCCATGAAAAAAATCCTGCCATTTTTTTATGATTACTGGATTATGAAAATGGGACTATCACCATAAATGTTGCTATGCCAATGCAGTACTCGTTATGGTGTAAAATTACATTATACAGTAATTATATGATATGTATACCAATTACTGTACATTCATATGGTTTTCACAACTCCATATGTTTGTAATGAAGTATACCAGCTCAACAAATCATCTGAATATTGTATAATAATAAAGGAACCACAGAAGGCCTATTGGCCCATACAAAGCAGCTCCTATTTATATCTAAATAAATAGGAGCTGCCTCATATGGATTAATCCTTAATTATTATGTTTAATTGATTGGTTGACCTCATATACTTCATCACAACCATACAGAGTCGTGAAAACCTTATGAACATAACTGTTATATGTATCATGTGATTATAATGGAATTTTATACCATTTTTATATTCTTTCATACATTATCAGTGTAAAAATGATTGTCTGATATCTCAGGTCATTGAATGTCTGGCTCAGGTCAGTGTGTGTGTGTGTGTTGCCGACTGTGAGTGTTGACGATGAAAGAAGGGTGGGGTGGGCCGCCACACACCGAACTTGCTCAGTGCATGAACCTAGCTACAATGAAAATATTAGGTTTATTTCATGTTTTCCTATATTTTCCATTCAAGTCAACTAATCTAAAAAAATATATTTTTAATTTTAAATTTTGTTGCGCATAGGCGGGTACAGTACTGTACTGTATTGTCTAAATTGCATTCTGCTCGTTAAGGGTTAATAAGGATATTTATTAATCCTTAACGAGTAAAATAATTCCCCAAAATTATTATTTTGTGGAATAAACAATTTTAATACATTTCATCATACATTTAAAGAAAGTAATTTTCAAGTGGTCTTGCAGGAAAAAATATATGATTTTGTGCATGTAAATATATTCTTGGTTGGTGGATTAAAAATGTGCGCCCCACCCTCTAGCAAATATGGCAACACCAGTACAGTATTTCTGAATCCTATAGAAACTGGTGTTTTCTGGCTATACAATAATTAGAGCTTCTGGTCTCTCATACCGTGGCCATAGTATGAATGAAAATAAATATGAAAATGTGTTCCGTGCTTTCTTTATTATTTCTAAACCCATACATATCTACTTCACAACACTCCTTATGTCTCTACAAACCTGTACGAACCCCCACGCTAGATCTTCCTTTACGACACATTTCACTGAAGCGCTGTAAAGACTGGTACGCAGCATCTGGATCTTGGCTGATGTGTAAGTTTGGACACCAAGAGTTGACGTGCTCTGTTAGCTGCTCCTGTAAGACACACACCTGAAAAGAAGTGTTTGTTAATAAGGATATGTTAGGCCTAGGAAATTCATGCTTAAATTTTTTTACTCATGCATAAGCAGTCAAATGGCCAACCTATAATGAGACATGCTTTAACTGTCAATTGAAGAAAGAAATGAGTGTGTTTATCGCTCAGAATGTTCGGTAATATGCTTATTGTTTGTGATGTGTCTATATACAGTACTGTGTATATATATATATATATATGAACACGTTGTACTGAACATGGTGAGCATAGCTTGAGCTACCTCATCTCTTTGTGTGTATTTATGCCTCAATAAACTTAAGTCCTTCAATTGAGATTGAAATATCAAGTTCACAGTGTAACATTTAGCCAGGTGGGTGAACCTAGCCTGTACTTTCTTTCCTTTTTCAGAAAAATTGATTATTTCATATTTGTATATTGGATTGAATTTATTATTTTTGTATTATTCAATGCTTTTATACTTCTTGTATAATGAAAAATCATGGGTATTTAGATTTTTATAACAGATTCTTGCCAATTACATTCCTTCATACTAATTAAACAAAAACAATGCCAGCAAACTCCTCCCAGAGCTGAACAGAGAAGAGCTCCTAACAGACCAGGAGCTTAAGGATACCAGAGAGCTGAGAGTCCACCAGTAAGTCCATAGGAGGAAGCTGGAATGCCTCACTTTGCAACAACACAGGTACATATAGGGTCTGATGGCTCCCCTTCCCATCAGGAGCAGACTGCAGATACAGAAATCTTCCCTCCACTCAAGATCTAGCAACCTATAGAGCAGAAATGCTTACAGAGGCAGGAAGAAGCAGGGACCTGCTACTGCAACCACAATGAAAAGTTGTCTGTCATGAGCACGATGTACTCAGAACATCAGCACATACTAGTTTTAACACTTTAGTCCGGGCATGACGCAGCATTGTGTCATCCGTTTACTGTCAGTAATCTCGGGGATGACGCAGCATTGCGTCATCCACTAAAATAATTGCCAAAAATCAGGTTTTTATCCGATTTTTTTGGGACTGTTTGGTAACTGTCAACAAGCTGAATGCAATCTGTGACTACAATACAAACATGAAAAGTGTTGATCACTTTGACCAAATGATCAAATATTATCACTTCATAAGGAAAACTCACAAATGAACGAAGAAAATGACCATCTATTTTGTGCAAATGGCTATCTACAATGCTTATGTGATGTACAACTACTACACAAAAAATACTAAACTATAATACTACATATACTAAAATACTAAATACTGTACTAAACATTTGTGGGCAGGAATTGGGAGTGTAGCTGGAAGGCGTCTTGGCGCTCACTCGCGGTTAACGCGTGTCCCGTCTTCAACTCATCAGCTGGTGGAGCGTGACCAGGTTTTTTATTTTATATGCTAATGTTCCTCTAGAGAATTCTATTGCGAAGCCATTGATACCAAAATGAAAGACCTAGGACGAAAATTGAGGTGACCAGAGTGAAAAGAGTGAACACATTTTATCGCTTTTGTGCACTCCTGGGTAACTCGTTCGCACTTTCTCTGTTTGCTGCAGGAAATTAGCTGGGCTTTTGGAGTTTATATGCATTTAGTGCTGTAGAGAATTCTATTGCGAACACAATGATGCCAAATTTAATCTCGTAGGACGAGAATTAAGGTGACAAAGTTGAAAAGAGTATACACTTTTCAGAATTAACGCGTGCTCCCGTGAAACTCTGGGACCCAAATCGCACAGTTGAGGGGTGGTGGGCGGGGCACGCCAAAGTGTCAATTTAGGAAAAACTTCATACAACTAGGAACCTTGCTCTATGCATAGGATAAGTGTATTTTGTAGCTTAAGCATGCAAAGATAATATATACACATTTGCATATAATGGTAAGATGACTAACCTGGCGGGGCTGTAAGCTCTGGATGGTACTGTATTCTGTGGGCCCTGTGAGGTAGCGATCTCTTTGGTGGATGGTTAATGACGACGTTTCCACCTTGTTTGAGTCCTCTAGATCATCGTAAACTATTTTCTCCGTTAATCTAGCCTGCAATGTGAATTATAAGTACAGTATATGGCTTTAAAAGGACAAAATGTTTATCACGATTTAAGAGATTTAAGTGAATCTCTGAACTTTTTTAAAAGTGAATTTTTTTTTGTACAAGAGAAGAAGTTACAGCAAAAACTAACATCCTAAATAGATATAGACACAAAAAAGTGAGGGGCACAATGGTTGCCATGCATGCTGGGGGTGTAACTTACCTTTTTAGACTTGTGTACTTCAGTATCCTGCTTCTCTTCACCATTGGGAATTCCATTTGGGTTTTTTGCCGCTAATTCATCCAGTACTTTCTCCTTTTCAGAATGTGTTTGTGATTTGATGATGTTGAGACTGTGTTGGTTGAATCTGTAACAAGGCAAGAGAGAACTATGTCAACATATATGTTGCATGCGTACATGATAAGATGTAATAGTACTAGTTGATGAGTGACAAATGCCAAAGTATTTTGCATTCTATGAATCCAACATCAAATTAATTACAACTTTACCACAGGCAAAATCCTAGTCTTGAGAGAGGAGAACACTGCTATTTTCAGATTTGCAGTTAAATGTAATTAGTACAAAATAAAGAAGTGAGTAAATACTAATTTAGTAAGAAGAGCATAAAGATTTTTGTTAAGCATGGCGTCTCAGCAGATGTCAGTGACATCCAGGTGAGAGGCAAGACGTCATGACTAAGGTTCTTCACGGATATCTTCCTATCAATGCAATTTTTTATCCAGCTGTATATTTTGTATATAAAACCGTATATTTATACAGTTTATTTACACATTAAGGATAATGTCACAAGCAAGAAAACTGCCCCTTCGAAGCCACTAGCAAGAGGTAAGGTATGACCTACCACCACCACCAATTCCCTCAACTTAAAGCTCTTCTAACTCCAACAATGAGTCAATATGGCAAACATTAATATGCCATATGAAATGAACTCTGAAAATTAAAACACAGCAAATTACTGGAAAATTGTAAACAAATAAAACAATGGTTAATGAAAAGAAGCAATCATCCTAAATGAGTCAAATCTGTCCAGAATAGCTTTTCAGTAATTTAGCTACAAGCTACAAGGATCCATTAAAGGGTCCTAAACCCCCTAACTATGGGGGAACTATGAACCCCCCCTGTTCATAGTCATCATCAAGGACAATATAGCACATATTAACATTTGTGGATGAATTAACATTTACACAAAGATGGCAAGCAAAAAGAGGTCAACTCCTTTATTAAAACAAACTTTTGAACTCAAAGAAGACCAAAAAATGTTGTTACTGTATAACAAGATGTAAAACTCCACATGTGAGATACAAGACATGACAAGCCAAATTTGACAGAAATATGTCATTCTGCATAGAGAACAAGTTGGGTAACTTAGGACCAACCATTTTCTCAAGATGCTCATTATGACACATTCAAGACATATTCAAGCTTGTCAAAGCCACAGTGCAGAACAGACAACAGGAAATACTCATACCAGAATAATGAATCTAAGAAGGTGTGTGTCTCCAGAAGCTGCCAAAAGAAGAACAGTGTTCACAATTAAAATGCAACTGGCAAAATGTACATGATAAGAAAAGGGAAGTTGTTATTAATATAAAATTTTGTGTCCCTGCCAGAGCTGCCAACAACAGTGCATCAAGTATATTCATGCATGTGTTCTCACCTTACCTCTGGGTGCGTACAGGTAGGGAGTAACTCTTCCCCACCTCTCTTCTCAGTCTAGTACAGTATTTGGTGAAATGGCATACTCACAATTTTCTAATGCTGTTGTACTGACTCAAAACCATGGATCATATTGGATTAACCACTCTATGACTTATTTGCAATTCCAGTTTCCACTAATGTCCTCTAGTCCAGCTTCTCACTTAAAATAGCCTGCCCTTGTCCAATTTGTCTATGTATTTTAATATTGTGTGCTGTAACCATGTCTCTTTTGGCTCTTCTTTATTCCAGTATTTGTAGTATCAGTTTTTGAGCCTGTCCCCATAGTTCAAGTCTCATATTTTCAACATCAGTCTCGTGACAAATCTCTCAACATTAAATTTCGTTTTGCAGTGCACAAGGTGTGGCGTATTCCACATACAGGTATGAATATGCTTATGCACCATGATATTTATTATGAATAACTTATGGTTCAAAAGAATGTTAATAAAATACAAAAGATTTAAACCAACATACCTTTTGATCATTAAAGCATGAAAGACATTACTTCCAGCTTTGACACCAGCAACTCTCAGGTCACCCTCAATAGACATAGGCTTCTCCTCGTAGATGTCATTCAGATCAAACAACGGATCATTCTGAGTCGAGCTCACATCACGATTCCATTCTGGAAAATAAACAGTACTGTATACAAAATATATGGTTGAAAAAATTACAGTAATCTAAAATATTTTCTTATCAACTATTCTAATGTTCTAATAACTCTTATATGTACAGAGAAATTTAATTAATCTCAAATCCAAATCTTTCATTAAACCTCACATATCTTATGAGGTGTTCTTAACCAGTGTTTAAAGTAACTTAGATGGAAGCTCAAGATAATTCACATTACTGGCTCAGTTGGTATACAGTACTGTATATATTGCTTACATGCATGTTAATTTTCATGATACTGCATTACAATATACTACAATAAAACATAGTAATTGTTTTATGTAAGATGAAGTATTTAACCCTTAAACTCCAACTATTGCTATTGACAATCACTTGAAAATTAATTATATTGAATAGATACACATGAATTGATGATGCCATTGTGAGACTTGATCCCTTCACCACAGTCAAAGTAAGTTACATATCTTCTTCTAAGTTTAACCCTTGCACTGCTCACCTATTTTCGGCAAAAACGTCTTGGTGCAATTGTCAAGGACATATTTTCGTTATTTTTACAAATGTTCAGGTAAATTTAATGTCAAAATGTTTCCAAAGTCAACTATTTCCATTTCAAAACACAAATAGTAATGAAAACATTAAAAAACATTAAAATATAGCCAAATTAAAAAACAAAGAGCACAACTCTCTGAGCGCCTAAAGGCGCTTTGCGCAGTGCAGTGGTTAACATGACCAGGCAATGCAATTTAGCAATAGCAATAATAAAATCTGAATTTATTTTTTCCTGTGCACCAAGGAGGGTTTTCATAAATTGTTTGTACAGTCCGTTGGCTACTACAGACCTAGAGATCTAATGCAGTCTACATCATTATTACTAGTAAACAAAAAAGAAAAAGCTTACCTTTGTCATCATATTTTGAACACTCGGAAAAGACATTTTCAATGCGGCTAGTTGTGTGTACACTATAATAATGAGATTGGAAAAACAGCGTCCAGAACTCTGCCTCAGACATCCTGTGGGGGACGTACTCCCCGTGTTTCTTCTTCACAGCTGGGTATGTCTTAAAAACGGCAGTCATAATCTCTGGCGTCAGGTTGTACTGAACTTTTCCATTGTTGCCATCAGTGTGTGGCTTTATGTCCGCCTTAAAAGACAATAATATATCATGATTTAGATGAATATGTAACCTCAGTAACCATGCAGTGTATAAAAAAGAAAACAAGTTATTTAAAATATACTGTATTCAAGAGGGAGCCGGTGGCTGAGCAGACAGAACACTGGACGCATGATCCTGTGGTCCCGGGTTCGATCCCGGGCGCCGGCGAGAAACAATGGCCAGAATTTCTTACACCCTATGCCCCTGTTACCTAGCAGTAAATAGGTACCTGGGGAGTTAGTCAGCTGTCATGGGCTGCTTTCTGGGAGGTGGAGGCCTGGTCGAGGACCGAGCAGCGGGGACACTAAAGCCCCGAAATCATCTCAAGATAACCTCCAAATAATGTTCCCCCTTCACACATAAGCCAACAACACAGGAAATTGATCATTTGTGTTAAAGATGTTCAGCTTCATGAAACTTCCTAAATAAATGACATGCGTGTATAAACAAAATGTGTAACTGTACTGTATTTGAAGGAAGCCTCAGTAAAGAGACCAATACTTCTCTAACGTGAGATGTGAGCCAAGGTCTTGAGAGCTTGAAGGGTAATACTCTACTGATACTCCATTATTCCATAACATATATCCACCATGAATGATAAGGGGACGCAACTGTATACCATTGAATTTATTTAGTACTTATAATACAGCATCAGTCATAACAAACACATCCCTCAAGAGGAAAATTGATCAAATAACACGGTCACAACGATACACACACGAGTGCACAGGCAGCAGCAGCATTAAGGAGAATGTTTATGTGCCTTGGTAACTAGCACACATAGTTGCATCATTGCTGTCAATCCACACAGAAACCTGTGCACCAGTTGATTGACAGTTGAGAGGCGGGACCAAAGAGCCAAAGCTCAACCCCCGCAAGCACAACTAGGCGAGTACAGACAATGATGGCAAGAAATAAATCCAAAATACAATCCAGCACTTTTCACTAACTTTTATTGAATCAACAGCATAACAGTAACCTAAACCTTCATAGTAAATGAAGTAATGAGATTATTATGAAAATAGTACCAGGCAGATGTGAAATTAGGCCACTAGAGGCCCAAGGCAGAAGCCAGCTCAAGCAACACTTTGACCATAGAGAGCAGAACACATGATAAACAAACCTCAGGAATGTATGAATTTATAACAACAATCAAGATGTTTGCACCTACAAAAAGAGAAAATGACATTAATTGAATTATATACTGTACTGTGTCAAGAACTTCAAATTATAACAAATTATGAGTTAATACAATCAATACTTTATTTTACTTTTATCTATACAAGATATAACATATCATATACATGTACTGTATATCTTAAATATAAAATATATTTATATATTACTATATAAATTACTATACTTATAGGAGTTCTTACATTCTTGTAAAGCCATTAGCGCGCACACAGCATTTCAAGCAGGCCTTAATTTTAATTTCCCTAGAATACGACCTGCCAAATCGTTTAACAACCAGGTATACATTCACTGTTGGGTGAACAGAGGCGTACAGTCAAGGACTGGCACCTAGTCAATTCTCACCAGCCAGGATACGAACCCGGGCTAAATTGCTTGTGAAGCGTGGGACGAGTGTGTTACCACTGTGCCATGGGGACTATAAATAAACACCATCAAGCAGCACTCATCAGACTGCACCTGATTGTTGTTTTCAGTTGCATCTCATGGTTGCCGTAAGAAACACTGGAGTGGAATAACTCCAAATCAGACTTTTAGTGAAAAGATGATACTTCTATAGCAGCAAAACACTCAAATACTCCCGTTTCTTCCCAAGTCCTGGATTTCCATGCTCAGAATTATTTTCTTTACATCTGTCACTGAGACACCCATACAATAGTGGCCCTTTGTACTGACCAGGTGAAGCACTGATGATTTGAGTGTGCTACTTAGAAGTTGGTGTGATGTCAAGACGGCCTTGGAAAGGTCGTGTGTTTATGAGTAAACCTTCTAGTCATCCTGGGCTGGACTGAGCTTATTCCCAGTGCTTCCCTAGCTCCAGCATTATCCAAAAGAAACATTTGTAAAGATTCCTGTTTGATCTGGTGACCAATGTTGCCCTGCCCTGATTCATGATTCGGTCCAATGGGACCTTTCAGCGCTCCTTGCATCAGAGAGCATCCGAGTTGAATAGGTCAGAAATATACAAGCAATCCATGACACCATGAAAATGGCTCTTTGCCTATACCTCCAAATAGGTACATAATTTCATAAGTCAATTGGAAAGCACATGTCCTTTATCAGTACACAATACAGGTCTATAAAATACAAATCAAAGATAAAAGAGACAATGCTTACCAGAAACGCCCCAGACACCCCCACATCTTGTTGTGGTCCCATATTTTGTTTGTATTGGCCGGCAATTTCTTTCCAAAATTCATCCACAGAGATGATAGATGTGGGCACCAGAGCACGGTACAGTTGCTGCAGTTGCTCATTCTCATCTAGCATTCTTTTCTTTTCCATCAATTCATCAGGTGGTTGACGTCTGTTTTGGGTCATCAGCTGACTAAGCCGTTCCTGCTCAGCCAGAGAGAAAATACAATTACAAACTCTGCCCACAACCTATGTCTAATACATATAATGCAATATTTATTAAGCACACTATGGTATAATGAAGATGGAAACAAACAAACTTGCTGGGTCTTTAAAGCTCAATATACACACCATAAAATCTAATTAACAGACTGTAGAGCCTACTATATCCGGCCACTTGCACAGAGACGTCGGAACATACCAAACAAACTTTACACCAGGTATGTATTTAACACCCAATTCAACACAGAATGATGGTGCAGAGGAACTCCAATGGGAAGACACAGATGTACAGTGTAACATGTTCAGTGTAACAAATATGTACAGTCTAACATATGTTCAGTGTAACAAATATGTACAGTTAACAAATATGTACAGTTAACAAATATGTACAGTGTAACATACATATGTATAGTGTAACAAACAGATTTACAGGTGTAACAAATAGAGGTACAGTATAACATACATGGATGTATAGTATAACATACAAGGGTGTACAGTGTAACATACACAGATGTACAGAGTAGCATACATGGATGTACAGTGTAGCATACATGGACATCTGTGTACTGTGTCTACACAGTAGACACAGGGTGACAGCTGAGTGAACAGCGCTTCGGATTCGCAGTCCTGAGGTTCTGGGTTCGATCCCAGTGGAAGCGGAGACAAATGGGCAAAATGTTTATTTCACCCTGATACCCCTGTTACCTAAAAGTAAACAGGTACCTGGGAGTTAGACAGCTGCTACGGGTTGCTTCCTGGGGGGGGGGGGGGGTGTAACAAAAAGGAGGCCTGGTCGAGGACCGGGCCACGGAGACGCTTAGCCCCAAAATCATCTCAAGATAACCTCAAGAAGATACATGGAGGTACAGTGTAGCAGACATGGATAAGTTTAATACACAAAGTGCAACAGAGATAGGTGTACGTACTGTGTAGTAGACACAAGTGTACAATGTGATAGATGCAGGTGTGCAACCTAATAGGCAAAGATCACAGATGTATAATGCTTACCAAACAGTAACTACAGGGAAGTGACATTAGCTGTCGATGCCCCGCCTGCTGGCCTTGTCGTACTCGTATTGTATTTGAACTTTCCCGACATTCATTTTCTTTGTCAAATCTGGCCTTAAAGTAGCAAAAACAAGTGGCTTCCACATCGTTTTTCAGTGCATTCCACTTGTTGATCATGCCATACAGGGAACAAGAATTTCTTTATATTTGACTCATTGCACTTTCAGCTTCCACCACTGTCTCTAGTCCTACTTTCTCTCTCAATTTAAAGGGGGGTTGTCCATGTCCACTTTGCCTATTCCCCACGATAAATTATATATGTTATGACCATATGCTCATCGTTTCTTTTTTCCCTTCAGGGTTGTGAAATTCAGTTCCCTTAACCTATCCCTCACTGCTGAACCCTCTTAGTACCAGGACAACTGTGTAACTCTCTGCCCTTTTCAAGTTTGGTTTTGTGCTTTACAAGGTGAGGATTCCCAGCTGGTGCATCACAAGGTGAGGATTCCCAGCTGGTGCTTCACAAGGTGAAGATTACCAGCTGGTGCTTCACAAGGTGAGGATTCCCCAGCTGATGCTTCACAAGGTGAGGATGCCCAGCTGGTGCTTCACAAGGTGAGGATTCCCTAGCTGGTGCTTCACAAGGTGAGGATTCCCCAGCTGGTGCTTCACAAGGTGAGGATTCCCCAGCTGGTGCTTCACAAGGTGAGGATTCCCCAGCTGGTGCTTCACAAGGTGAGGATTCCCCAGCTGGTGCTTCACAAGGTGAGGATTCCCCAGCTGGTGCTTCACAAGGTGAGGATTCCCCAGCTGGTGCTTCACAAGGTGAAGAAGCCCAGCTGTGCTGTGAATTCTGACTCTGGTCTAACATTGCTTGCATGGATTACTTTGGAAGTCCTCTTTTAGGCTTTTAAATTCCCATTCTAATGTGCACCCGCTTTCAATATGTTGTTGATGTTACCCAGAATTTTCTGCAATCTCCTTGATTTTTTTCATTGATATATGTATGAGCTTCCCCTTTCTAAATCCATGCTGTTCATCCGTCACAAAGTTTATCCTTTCCAAGTGCTCTGTTTTTCTTAACCTCATTACTTTCTCCAGTACTTTACATGAAATACTCGTCAGTGACATCGGTCTATATATTATTGCCTCCTGTTTGTTTATGGCCTTTTTTTATTATTGAGATTACATTTGTCTTTTCCAGAATTCCAGATCTCCTGTTTCAAGTGTTTTATTTAAAAAATTGTTTAGCAGATGACAAAGTACTGCTGCAGTGTAACAGACACAGGTGTGGAATCTAACACACAGATATGTAGTGTAACAGACCATATAGTGTAACAATGTCTAACACATGTACAATGTAACAGATATCAGTCCGTTACATTGTGCCTAGTTGTGCATGCAGGGGGATGAGGTCCAGCTCTTTGGTCCTGCCGCTCAACTACTAATCAACTGGTCTACAGGTTCTTCAGCCTAATGAGCTCTATCATAAGTACACTTGAAACTGTATATGGAGTCTGCCTCCATACCTCCCCCTTTCTTGTGCATTCCATTTGTTAACTACTACGACAATGAAAAATTCTTTTGAATGATTCTCTGGGCATCAAGCTGGACGTCAGGCGGCTCGCAGCTGTGTCCGACAGCCTGGTTGACCACATCACCGGCCAGGAGGCCTGGTCGGGGACCGTGCCTCAGGTACCTTGAACCCCAGAACCACCACAAGGCAAGTGGTTCATTTGAGTACGAAATTTCCACTCGTATCTCCTTGTTCATATGTATTGTGCAACAGACACAGGTGAACTGTGTAACAGGGCACAGGTGAACTGTGTAACAGACACAGGTGAACTGTGTAACAGACACAGGTGAACTGTGTAAAAGACACATGTGTAGTGTGTAAAAGACACATGTGTAGTGTGTAAAAGACACAGGTGTAGTGTGTAAGACACAGGTGCACACACACTATGTGCCAGGGCACATCTTACCTTGACCTGGTTCCTCTCAGCCAACTGTTTTTCTCCTCCCTCTGGTGTGCAGAAGTGGAATGTGAACGAGGAAATATCATGGAGAACAAGTTGGAGTTGTACTTTAGGCTTTCCCTCTGGCGAGATTTTTTGAGCTGAAAAGGAACGGTGAGGAAAAAGATGATGTAAACATACACAGATATTAAGCCTGTAATTCAATTATTTTACATTATCAAAAAATGTTAGGTGAGAAAAAGACAAAAGCACCATAATTTTCTTGAAACAAGAAATTAATTTTTGCAAAGTTTGAATTCATTAAGGTGATTAACTATACTGGATAATAAATGAATAAATATGAAATAGATTATCACTAATCTATTTCACATTTCCATAGAAGATTAGAAACACTCCCTAAGAGAGGAGAGGCAGTAGTGTAGGAAAAGGTTACATATTGTGCAACACTTGACCTTTAATCTTATCTTTCATAACTGAATTCACTTTCTTCAGCACACCATAAATTGTTCGTGTTACATTTATAAACGAGTAAACGGGAAAAAGAACATCCTTCTGCTACAGGCTATTCATGTTCAATGTCTATTAAAGGAACACTGTCATTGGTTTCTTAAGTAAACTGTTAGAAAGTTCTGCTTCATTGAGTCTATTCCTCAAATTATCCACATTTAAATAGGGTGGTGCGATGATCAAGACATTGACAACCTTGTGGAGCACTTTTAGTGCTGGGGTTTATGCTGGAGAAGGCATCACATAATTTCATAAATAAACTGGAAAGCACAGCACTAATTGCTGTAATATAGCAGCTGCTTAAGGTAGTTGCATATATATATTGATAACATTGCTCTAAGTCCACTTTCAAATGTCATGATATATACTGTTTTTTCAATAGTGCCACCATAAAGGACAGTGATTACATTCACACATTTTACTAACAAATATCTGCATTAGGGTAAGGTTGCCAGCCTTTAGCCATGTAAGAAAGCAATTACATAAACTATTTGTTTTCAAATTTGATAGCACAATTTAATCCTGTATCTTCTTGTCCTACTTTTTCTAAGATTAAAGAGACTGTCTTTATTTACTTAGTCTATTCAATTCAGTATCTTGTACGTATTGAACACATTCCCCCAGTTCCTTCTCGCCTCTAAGGCTGTAAGATTAGCTTCATTTAACCTGTCCTTGTAACTTAGTCATCTTAACTCTGGCACTAGCATTGTACTTAAACTGTACCTGAAATGGGTTCTGGGAGTTTGTGACGATATCCACGCCATCTGTGGAGTGAGGTGTGACGATATCCAACCACCTGTAGTGGCATGGCAAGGTGTGACAATATCCACGCCATCTGTGGAGGTGTGGCGATATCCATGCCACCTGTAGAGTGAGGTGTGATAATATCCACGCCATCTGTGGAGTGAGATGTGACAATATCCATGCCATCTGTGGAGTGAGGTGTATAACAATATCCACGCCAACTGTGGAGTGAGATGTGACGATATCCATGCCATCTGTGGAGTGAGGTGTGTAACAATATCCACGCCATCTGTGGAGGTGTGACGATATCCACACTATCTGTGGAGCACTACCAACCCCAATTCGTTTAGGTGGGGAGGGGAGGGGGGTCGATGACAGTGCCCTCTGTTGAGGGAGGTGACGATATCAACAGCATCTATTGAATGCACCCGACCACATTTTCTGTTCCCCGGTGACAGGCTGTCATCATATCTTATCCCTGTGTAGTTCCTGTCTTGCTAATGATGTTTTTAGTCCGCAGAAGTGATGTGGAGAGTATCGTGGTCAGCAGGAGTCAGTTCACCCAGGGCAGTCCTGAACCCAAGATGTGTTCCAGCAGGAACAAGTGGCCGCATTGGTATAGACAGTGATTTGTCTATAATACTAGCGAAGTATTAGTGATTGGACTAATGTATCTGGGATAGGCCAAGTTGAGTTACTTGACAGAAGTACGATTCATCTGTTAAGGCTTGTTGTAAGCCAGTGTGTTGCTGGAGACCTCTGCCAGCGTGTTGCTGGAAAGTAGACATGGTGTTTTGAACACCATAACGATACAGTGTTGGACCGGCCCACGTTGGAATGAGTAAGGTGAACTCGCCAGCGTGAGGATTATAGAAGATAGAGTGGACTCACCGGGAAGAGAAGATTGTGGGTGTTTTCAAGTGTCCTGTGTGAAAGTGACACTAGTATTGTGTATATTTGTACATACATATATAAATCTATTTAAGAAGTACACTGGTGAAGGTGCTGTTTCGTATTGTTTACCCCTTTTTCCTTTCACTATTAATTGTTACCGCCAACACTTGATAACTTACCAATGACTCGGGGGTAGGATCAACTAAGAAGAGGCATTAAGACCCCATACACAGTTTTGTAATAAAGAACCCGGTTACTGGCTAAGTGAGGCTGTAACAGTTCTACTCCCTAAACCCACCTTGGGGTCAATCTTGACATTGTTGCAAGTCTCTGACATTAACTACTTTTGTGCTAGAAGAGGTGCGGATTCCATGCCAGTTGCAGTGTATTCTAGCACTGGAGGTGTGCAACAAGTGCTCATTTTAATTCTAACTTAAATCTTATTATGTATGTAGAAGGCACAAAATGCTGACAACAATGTAGACATAATCCAGAGTAAATAGATTTTATTTGTAGATAATGATTTGATTATAAGGGAGGGAGAATAGGGGTGGTATAAGTAACACTCACTTCTGATGTCATTGTACTGGACGCTCACAGCAAATGTGTCCGATTCATCCATCATCCAGCCGACTCGCGTTTGAGAAAGATACAACTGGCCATTATTCTTCTTATAGCGAACATGGTTCACCTGAAGAAGGATATCTTCCCGTTCTCCGCTCATTCTGAAAAATATGAGCAGTGATTACAAAGATAAATATCTCTATACAAGTACCAGGTGAGTACACTCAGACAAGCATGAAGACAAACACTATCAACTGAGCAGCAGTTCTAAGCAGGTCTCTAACAAACTTCAGTTCCTTGTCTAAGAAATACAGGTCAGAGGGTTATACTAGTGGTGACCCAACACACACAGTATGACCACATAAAAATGTAGCTATACACTTTTGCCTAACAGCCAATTTCCCACTCACTGTAGCACATAATCACAGTCTATAGAAATGTAACCCTACACTTTACCCAACAGTCGATCTCTCTCTCAATACATAACTGTACAGTATATCAAAATATTATGTTACCAAAATTTCATAATGGTCAGAAAACAAATATATCCTAACAACAGATATTTATGAGTCAAAAATGCAAAGTAGTCATTCAAATTCTATTTGGTGGGAAAATGCTAAACTATGCAAAGTAACAATATTCTTTGAGAATTTCAGAAGTAATTCATGAAAACTCTCCAAATCCACATGAGTACAGTACAGTGTGTATATAATGTATGAGAATCTTGAAGCCCTTCAGCATCAATGACCAAGATATTGTGACTTCATACAGTAATATGGTTTCTCATTGTTATGGACAGCAATCCTGCTAGGTTCTTCAAGATGCCTCTCCCTAGCCTCCCTAGGCCGACAACTAAAATTGTTAAGGATGCAGACCCCAACACTTGCCTACTTCCAGTACTCATACTGAATACTGTTAGGTAAACAAAGGCATCAGGTTTAAGAAAACATGGCAAAATGCCTTGTCCTGTACGGGAATCAAACCCGGGATAAAGGCTTTATCTTGTAACTCCCTCTGAAGGTTTTCCTTGTAACTCATACCTCTCAGTTCTAGGACTTGTTTGGTGGCATTCAGTATTGAGACAACTGAGTTGAGACAATGGCAATACAGTATAGTATTTACAGCAAGTACAGTAAGGTTTATAATAACTATCACCTGCAGCACTTTACCAAACCCTACCTAACCAATCCTAATGTAACTAAGCCTGATCTAATTAAAGCTAATCTAACTACAGTAAACCTAACCTAACTGAAGTTAAACATAACTAAACTTTAATAAACTGAACCTAACCAAACCTAACTACCTGTACACCTAACCTAACAAATAAAGCTACTCTATAAGAAAAAATTAATTATAAACAAAAGCACTTCTGATCTGATTACTGAATCATAAAAGATATTCACCCAAAAATGTGATTACCACACAATGAACAGTTCTTATCTCTGACTCGGTATCAGATTACTGCACAGTATTTGTTTTGTGATAGTGACTGGTGAACATGCCAATTCAACATTTTCATGCCAATTCCTCTTCATTAAATTAATGTGTTCAATTGTATCTATTCTCATCACCAAGGAACACCCATCACAACCAGATCTATGTTAATTTTTCTTTGTAGCCTAGGCCTATTGCCTTTGCATGGGCCAGCAACTGAGGCAAATTATTCAACTTTATCAACCATGTACATGGGGTGAAGAATTTTGTCTTTTGTTTTATCACTAATTACTGGAAGTATTCGTGAGTAAGCAAAAAAAAAAATCGAAACTAAAAATTAAATATTAATAATAAAACAATTGATCAAGATAAAATATTTATTAGCTACTACTTGTGAGCCTACAGGTAAAAATTACCATAAATTAAGCTAACCTAATCTATACCCTCCAATGCGGTCTCTTTTTGCTCTGTTAGCCGAATCCTTGATACCGTGCCCACACTCATGGCCTAAACCTGAATCAATATTTGTCTATCTCCCACTTACCAAAACTTAGTGGTCTGTGCTTAGGGAATATATTGTACAGTAATTCTTATATGTTGTATCAGACTAAATCATATCTTGTGCAAAACTCACATGTTTAAACTATCACAGCAAAGACAGAAGAAAGTGCAAGACAGTAAGTTACATGGTGAGTCACTCCACGTTAAAGTTCCTCCTAACCTAACAGACCAGGCCAGTCCAGCCTTAGCCTTAAATACAATAGAGTAATTTTGTCCAAGATTTGGTGGCAGGATAGAAGGACCAAATTGAAAGTGGGGCAACTAGTCACAATACATGCACATTCACACATCTACAAAAAAAAAGTTTTTTGGGGGGTTTTAGCCAAATTAAAAATGCTATTTTTTTTTCCTAAAATACTGTAATATTTGTACTGTTAACAAATATCAATTAAAGATTAGATAATAAAAAAATTGGAATGCAATATGTTAAATAATAATATTTATTTACAAGAACGTACAATGGATATGTGAGATTAGGAAAGATTGGTATTTTTACATTCTTGCAAAGCCACTAACCCGAATAGCGGTTCGAGCAGAAATGCCATGTATTTCTGCCCGAAATATTAAGGCTATATATTAAAGGCTTGTTACATTACAGGATTGAAACATTTATTCACTGATGTGCAGGAACCCAATATTATCTAATAGAAAATATAACTAACTGACTTAAATTAAACTTAACTTAAATTAACTTAACTGACTTAATTAACTTAAATTAACTTAAATTAACTTAACTAATTAAATTAACTGACTTAAACTAAATTAACTGACATTGCTAGCAGAGGGTTTAAGGTGAGGTTGGCTCAAAGTATGCATAGATCTAGCAGCTGTGACATGAGTCCATCACATATTATATTGCAGTACTGAATCCATCTGTCATGGCCGACATAATTTTCATTACAACATTCACTAAGGCAATACAAAATACTGAATAAATGAGAGATTTAGAGGTCTTCAAAAAACATAAAACCCAAAATTCTCCCCACAAGCTACACTCCAATATTTAAGCTACAAAACAACATAAGACTTGGTTCCTCTTACACAAGACACCTCTTCCAGTTTAAAGACTAACATATCAATGAAGAATAAAGCAAAATCCCACATCTTTAAGAACGAATCAATTCACATTTCTCCTTGATGTACCACGTTCCTTCAACCATTGTTTAAGCTCATTATTTATCAATGTTACCAAAAACTATTCCATGCCCGTAAATCTCTCTAACATTTCCTTTGTAGTGCTGTTTTTACCTCAATTTATTTAATTTATTTATTTATTTACAAGAAGGTACATTGGGTTTGTGAGAGTATAAAACAATGGTGTGTTTTTACATTTTTGGGAAAAATATCCAATGTTTTGTACTAAGCCATTAACACATGTAGCATTTCAGGCAGGTCCTTAATCGAACAGATAAGGTAAGCTGAAAAAGTACATTGTTGCAAAATTTGATTTCAACATATAACTACAATATAAATTGATGGAGGTGATTACATTGGTGAAGATATATGTCTTAAGTTTATATTGGGGAAGAGGGTAGCACAAGATACAGTGAGAGTTTAAAGCACTAGGTAGGAAACTATGAGGATGAAATTAGTTACTTTTTGGGTTTACTTTTGAATAAGGCATAGGTTGGACAGCTTTTCTATTCACTAGTAAGTGAGTTCCATAGACTGGGTCCTTTTATTTACAATGAGTGTTTGCGCAGATTTAGTCTGACTCTTGGGGATATCTAGGAGATATTTATTTCTGGTGTGGTGCTCATGGGGTCTTTTACATCTATCAAGGATGAGTTTCAGGTCAAGATTAGCATTTACGAACAAGGTTTTGTACATGTAGATAGCACATGAGAATATGTGGAGTGTATGTTTAGCATATTTAGGGACTAAAACAGAGAGTTGTGCATTGCCTGAAGACAGAATTTGTTATAGTTCTGACAGAAGATTTTTGCTGGGTGATGATGGGCTTGAGGTAATTTGCAGTGGATGAACCCCATGCACAGATACCGTATGTAAGACAGGGATAGATTAGTGTGTAGTATAATGAGAGGAGAGCAGACTGGGGAACATAATATGATTTTAGAGAGTATACCATGAATAACAATGACAATAATCATTAATACATTTGTCCATCTATCTACTCCCAGCAAACTCATCTCCCCAAGCTGAGAGATGACCAGAACAGCACACGAGGGAGAACTGTGGCTGCTGGAGCTCTACTGTGTCCCTCAAGGCTCCCCTGAGCGTGTACCTGGCTCTGACAACTGGTATAAGTTTCCTCACTAGAACTGATATTTTCGTGACTCCTGGAGTGCCTGGTACCCTGACCCTCTCACCCTGGAGGGCACCCTAGACCCCGCAGCAGGCGGTAATTCCTCTCACCTGACGGGGAACACCCATTGTCGCAAGCAACTGAATGCTTCATCACAGTGACAGGCCACACAAAAAAAACACGACACAAACAAGGGGTCTCCAAGCACTGCACCTCGCAGTGATTTGAGGATTTCCAGCCAATTTAAGCTGGCGGTGGTGTCCCGCAGGCGTCCACGGACCGCCGGCGGGGCACCCGCTGGTACTTGGAGGGCCCCTGGAGGGCCAGGTTTACCTGTGTGGTAGTTATGAGTGAGCGGGTCGAGGTATCCTTGACCTGCCGCAGCTAAACCAAAACATGTGTGAGGCGCCGGAGCCACCTGGCGGCCGCTCCCGCAACCTCCCGTCACCATGGCAACCCACCACGCCGGAGCCTCCTACACCACATGATATATAACATACAATATTACAGCATTGTATCTATAGTTTCCTTCTGAAGATGTATTATTAAAATACGAAAGTACTTAAGGAAATTCCTGTTTCAATTCTTCCTCCGTGGTCTGACGCTGTCACATTTTTCATCACGTGTTAATTTTCGTGATTTACACACACAATATTACATTATATATATACTGTATATCTCTCTCAGTTTACCTGAGAGCCACTAACACTAGTGGCCACGACCAGGACAGGAAGCCGGTGGCTTGTCGAAGGTCCCCCCACACCCATTTGCCTTGCCGTATATTATGGACCAGTGTGCGCTATAAAACCTGACCTATATAACAGTTACCATGCACCACAGACTAGTACTGCATTATACAACACCCTATATAGTTATAATATAACGTAATATATCATGGACCAATGTTTACCTGAATTTACTCGAATTTACATAATGTAGTCGATACTGGTCCTTGACATTAACGGCCTACTACATTTTGAGATATATACAAGAGTTGTTACATTCTTGTACAGCCACTAGTACGCGTAGCGTTTCGGGCAAGTCCTTAATCCTATGGTCCCTGGAATACGATCCCCTGCCGCGAAGAATCGTTTTTTCATCCAAGTACACATTTTACTGTTGCGTTAAACAGAGGCTACAGTTAAGGAATTGGGCCCAGTAAATCCTCCCCGGCCAGGATACGAACCCATGACATAGTGCTCGCGGAACGCCAGGCGAGTGTCTTACCACTACACCACGGAGACTGCATTAGTTTTAGTTTAGTTCATTTATTATCCACCCCATACCCATCTTGTGGGCGGTAGTGGAAAGGGTTACAGAGGCACATAATGGGCTCAGGGACTGAACCCCACAATTCATTTAGCTAAGCAAGTTACAATCTTGATGAGCTAGTTACAAAATTCAATATAAGTCGTCTGTTGCAACGGATGTATACGACACGTGAGGGAACTGTGTATATTCGCTCCAAACTTTCATTAAGGTTTTGCGAATTCTCATTAGCGTAATGAGATGAATTAGTTAAGTCTACTTAATCCAGTAATAACAAAACTCATACCTATGTCTTGCCACTACCTCTCCACATATGTCAGTTGCTTAATTTAGAAACTGTACTTGTGGTCGATCTCGAACCCATTGTTGATGTGACGACTTATACTGAATTTTGTAACTAGCTCATCAAGATTGTAACTTGCTTAGCTAAATGAATTGTGGGGTTCAGTCCCTGAGCCCATTATGTGCCCCTGTAACTCTTTCCACTACCGCCCACAAGATGGGTATGGGGTGCATAATAAATGAACTAACCTAAACTATGTCTTACGATTTTCAAACAATATTGATTATTGACCAACTTATTTAACTACTGATATCTGCCGTGTATAAACTTAAAGAAAACTGTAATCTTCTGTTTATTTAGTTAAAATTCTTTCTGCTGTTCTGTTGTATTTTCTGCAGTTCCATCCATCATGTAGTTATTATCATTCTCTTGTTCTTGTTTTCCTTTTTTCAATTCAATTTATGCTTTTGATCTCAATTAGTGTTAAGTTTTAGTCACAATTTTTTTCCCCACAACTTGCCTGAAACGCAACTTTTCGAAAAAGCAACTTTCAGACAAAAAAAAAAGCACTAACGATGCTCTTCATACATGCAGCTCTTGATAAAAATGAGTTCCCTGTTGGGATATTTGTTGACCTACGTAAGGCTTTTGACACTGTCAACCACCAAAACCTTCTTAAATTACATCATTATGGAGTCAGAGGACACTCCCTCCAATACCTTAAGTCTTACCTTACTGACAGGCTCCAGTATGTTTCTGTGAATAATATAATTTCTCCCACCCTACCCATCAACATTGGTGTTCCTCAGGGCAGCATACTTGGCACTCTACTCTTTCTCATCTACATTAATGACCTTCCAAATGCCTTTCAACACCTCAAACCAATTCTATTTACTGACGACACAACCTTCATTTTCTCCAGTCCTGACCCTCTTGCTCTAAATGTCACAGTGAATACTGAACTAAATAAAGTCCATCTTTGGCTAACTGCTAACAAACTCACCCTTAACATTGACAAAACTTTCTATATTTTGTATGGCAATAAATCCTCAAATCAAATTAATCTAAGAATAAACACTATCCAAATTAGTAAGAAAGTAGATAGCAAATTCCTTGTTGTTCTCATCGGTAACAAGCTGAATTTCCAGGGACATATTCTAAATATATCAAAAAAAGTTTCTAAAACTATTGGTATTCTTTCTAAGATTTCTTTCTATTATGTACCCCGCCCTGCCCTGGTGACGCTCTATTACTCTCTCATCTATCCTTATCTCAACTATGGTATTTGTGCTTGGGGTTCTGCTACACAAAATCATTTACGTCCTCTAATTATTCAACACAAAGCTGCTATTAGGACAATATCCAACTCTGGCCCCAGACAGCACTCGGTACCCTTACTCAAATCTTTGAATATGTTAGATACTGCACATCACTGCAGATTAAAGCAGATTAAACTGCACATCCTCTCATGTATACTCTATATATTTAAAACTCTGAACTGCAATGTCAATCCTGATCTTAGAAACTTCATAGAAGGTTGTAACAGAACTCATGGGCATCACACCAGGAACAAATACTTATCTGATATTCCAAGAGTGCGACTTAACCAAACTAGAAATGCTCTACAAATCAAGGGACCCAGAATGTGGAATGACCTCCTAAATCATGTCAAAGGCTGTACCTCTCTCAACCAGTTTAATTTAAGAGTAAAACCAAGTATTACTTAATTAACTCTATGTAACCTGCCTTATCCCCTAAATGTCAACCCATGTCTTGTTTTTTTAACAATGCTGTTTGTTCTCCATCTTGTACAATTGATGATTTCTGCCATGTTCCCCCACTTTTTTATTATTCCTTTTTTTTCAACACAATTTATACCTAATCTCAATTACTATTAAGTTTTAGTCTAAGTGTCCCCCCCCCCCCCCCCACACACACACCTTGCCCGAAATGTTATGCGTACTAGTGGCTTTAGATATTGTATGTACTACCTCTTTTTATAAATCCAACTTTATGTTTGTAAATCAACTATGTGTGTAGTTTTCCTGAATAAAGAATTTGAATTTGAATTTGAATTTTTTGAGTATGTGTGTATGATTGCATTTTTTTAGCGTTTTGTGCAATCACATATGCGAATGCCTGTTGTATGGCAAACAGCATTGCATTTGGCACAATCTACTAAAGATTTGTATGCAAGGTACATCATTTTGACAATTCTGACAATGACACCATAGCCTGAGTGATTGGCACCATAGCCTGAGTGATAACCTGCAACAGCCTTGAGAGCTCGGAGCCTCTCTTTATACTGACGACAGAGTCTGAATACAACAGGACCATACAGTGGCACCTCAAGGCCAAGGTATTTGAATCTGTTAACATAGCCAAGCTGGGAGCCATCAGACAGTTGCATCTTGCGAACAGCTCCTCCCTGCCTGGGTGGGCGCCGATGTAGTATCTTTGTTTTCTCTGCAGAGATGACTAAACCTAGGTCCTGACCTAAGTCTAATACAGAGTTAAGAGTGTTCTGTGTGTTAGCATACCCAGTGGTGTGTATCATTATATCATCAGCATAGCTAATAATGTGCACGTTGGGTTTGCTCGTTACAGAGTTTAACAGCGTATTTATTAAGATATTAAATAAGGTAGAACTGAAGACACCTCCCTGCGGGCTACCTAGTTCGAAGTCTCTTGTTACACTCCTATGCCCCTGGCTTGATACATTAATTGTAAGTGACTCTTTATCATCCTTAAATGCTCTCAACTCTTTAAGACATAACTGTAATATGCTCGTGTCCGAAGCTGGACACAAATGCAACCAAATTATTAAAGATGGTAACAGAGTCCATTTCATGTGGTCTCCATCTCATGTTGGCCTCCGAATGCATGATAGAGCTGATAAGTTAGCCAAAGAATCTGCCTTTACAGGAGACGTTGAGTGTAACCTTGGATTGTCAATGAGCAATCTGAGAGCAGCAGTACACCGAGAACTTCAACAAGATCTTGTAGATCTGAGGCAAAGTGAAATCGACACCAGTAATTCCATCTATCATCATACTATCATGCAAGAGGAGCCACACATCTATGGATCATACAATAAAATCAGCAGACTTCTAGATGTTACTACTGCTCGGCTTAGACTCGGTTACAAGTATCTCTGGGAATTCTCATTTTCTGCTGATGTAGACCTGACCAAATGTAAACTGTGTCAACAAAATTATTCGCACACCCTCCGTCACTATGTGATGGAGTGCGACAAGATACGTGAATTCAGAGACAATTCTATAATCAATGTTCTAGCAATGTGTAAATATTTCATTCAAAATGAACTGCTACCAGAAATTTTAGCCAATACTGAATTTTGTAACTAGCTCATCAAGATTGTAACTTGCTTAGCTAAATGAATTGTGGGGTTCAGTCCCTGAGCCCATTATGTGCCTCTGTAACCCTTTCCACTACCGCCCACAAGATGGGTATGGGGTGCATAATAAATGAACTAAACTAAAACTTTAAATTTATACATTGCAGATATCAGCAGTTAAACAAGTTGGTCAATAATCAATAATGTTTGAAAATAGCAAGACATAGGTTGACATTTAAGGGGTAAGGAAGGTTACATGCTGTTTATTAGGTAGTACTGTACTTAGTTTTTAAATTGTTTATATGAATTTTTTATAAAAAAGATTTGGCTATTGTTGTCCCCTAACTCCCCTTACCACTTCGGGGGGGTATAGGGTGTTTATGTAGCTTCAGGGCACCAGTCCCCCCAGCCACAGGGCACCAATCCCCCCAGCCACAGGGCACCAGTCCCCCCAGCCACAGGGCACCAGTCCCCCCAGCCACAGGGCACCAATCCCCCCAGCCACAGGGCACCAGTCCCCCCAGCCACAGGGCACCAATCCCCCCAGCCACAGGGCACCAATCCCCCCAGCCACAGGGCACCAGTCCCCCAGCCACAGGGCACCAATCCCCCCAGCCACAGGGCACCAATCCCCCCAGCCACAGGGCACCAGTCCCCCCAGCCACAGGGCACCAATCCCCCCAGCCACAGGGCACCAGTCCCCCCAGCCACAGGGCACCAATCCCCCCAGCCACAGGGCACCAGTCCCCCCAGCCACAGGGCACCAATCCCCCCAGCCACAGGGCACCAGTCCCCCCAGCCACAGGGCACCAATCCCCCCAGCCACAGGGCACCAATCCCCCCAGCCACAGGGCACCAATCCCCCAGCCACAGGGCACCAATCCCCCCAGCCACAGGGCACCAATCCCCCCAGCCACAGGGCACCAGTCCCCCCAGCCACAGGGCACCAATCCCCCCAGCCACAGGGCACCAGTCCCCCCAGCCACAGGGCACCAATCCCCCCAGCCACAGGGCACCAGTCCCCCCAGCCACAGGGCACCAATCCCCCCAGCCACAGGGCACCAATCCCCCAGCCACAGGGCATGGCGAGAAGGCACTCCTAAGCATACCTAATTCCTTATCAAACACAAACTAAAATACACATAAATGGCAGATCTCGTCACAACCCACAAGAGTTAGGATGATAATAATAATACACAATAATAACATGAAAATAACATACACAAAATGGAAAATTCTTTTGTATTTTGTTTTTCTTATATGGGACACGTACACAAAGGGAGAGGTGCACAGTCAATCAGTGCACAGTCTCAATCGACTTGAGAATGGTCCAGGACGGACCGAAACGTCGTCGTCCCTTCAATTTCTAGTGTGTGGTCTGGTCAACGTGCACAGTATATCATTGAAAAAGAACTAAAGCTGAAGGCAAAAGAACAAGCTACCTAAGCGGCAGGATTGGTGACTTGACATCGCCATACATGGAAAAAATTATTCATAGTGGAAGCTCCTAACAAGGCCCCGGAGCGGGAGGGATATCATGTATGCGCATGGGGGTCCCTCCGGCCGCCGCCTTACCCACTCGTGGGCTCCGGCCAGGTCATCCACCCTCTTGTGAGACACCATTTGGAGAAGTAGTACTCCAGATGACGACTCTGCTTAGATAGTTGGCTAGCAGCTATCCTGGCTGCGGTTCACCTAAGCAAGACTATATTAAACTGGTTGAGAGAGGTACAGCCCTTGACTACATTACAGTTCAGAGTTTTATATATATAGACTTGAGAGAAAATTTTCAAACATGTGCATGACTTATCTAACATATTCAAAGATTTAAGAAGGGGGGGGCCGAGTGCTGTCTGGGGCCAAAGTTCGTTATTGTTCTAATAGCAGATTTGTGTTGGGTAATTAGAGGACGTCGATGAATTTGGGTAGTAGAACCCCAAGCACAGATTCCATAATTGAGATAAGGATAGATGAGAGAGTAATAGAGCGTTACAAGAGCAGGGCGTTATTATTATTATTATTATTATTATTATTATTATTATTATTATTATTATTACTTAGGTAAGCTGGTTTGGGTGAGTTTAGGGTCATCTGGTCAGTGGTTCCGTTTTCTGTATCAGGCGGGATTGGGCTGGTTGGAGGTTTCTGGGGGAACTACAGTAGTCGTAGCACCTGAAGTCACGATATTTTGCGGAGTGTTGGTGAGAATGGAGCAGAGCGCAAGAGATGAGGAGGAGGGACAGAGATACTAGGGAGACCATTGTGAGTGAAAAATGAGAAGATACTCAGCAAAGTCACGCCTATCATTCTTAGCCTTCAGGCATGTAGCCTCTACACAGGCGGTGACTCGTTCATATGAGGGGTTCTGAAGAGGAGAATAAGATGTAGGTGGTGGGTGTGAGAAGAGAGGTGGAGCGGGGATAATTTTGATGGGCGGTGGTGAGGTGGTGAGAGGAGGCATGCAGGGCAATGGCATGCCTCGTTACACTAGGCATGCGTTACAACAATAATACTGTGACAACGAAGTTTAGGTGTTATAAGCTTACCATATAGACGGTGGAAATCGATTTATTAAAGAGGGATGTCGCGTGTTGAAATTTATATTTTATTGATATAGGGTATATTGTTCCAAAGACTTTAGAGCAGGTAAGCAGGGAATGGAAGAACGGGGTGAGGATGCAGAAATCTTGGGCGAGGAATAGGTGAAGAGGGAAGATAAAGATCGGTGGCCTAACCCAGTGTGTATTGAACTTGAGTGGATTGTAGTATAGTTGAGTGGGGCGTCCCCACAGAGAGGCTGTGCTCGCAAGCAGCTGTCAGCCGAAGGCATTTGATGGCAGCCGAAGGCAGTTGATGGTAGGTGCTGGTAGTATTTCTTCATTCTTGGGTCTTCATTGGTCTTCAGACCTCAGCGCTCCTCCCATTCTTTCCTCCTTCTTCTTCCTGTAGTTTTCAGCAAACTTGTATCGTTGTTCTTTTTGGGTTTCACGGAAGTCGTGGCTGTCCTACTTATCGTTGACATTGTTGTGCTGTCGTTCGAGGTTGTAGGCGCGGTGTCCAGTAGCAAATCATCAGGTGTGTAGTGAACCTTCCGCCGAGGAGGGGATGGTGTTCCCATTGAGACATCATCATCTGATGAATCAGTTGAATCAAAAGCTGAAGCAGAATTCATTGAAGGTTGAATGGTAGCATGTCGTGGAGAGGGTTGCTGCAACTACAGCTGGAGTAGAAGGTTCAGTGGGCGTATCCGTGGTTCGTTGAACATCGGTAGTAATCTTCGTAGAAGTGGAAGGAACGGCTGGAGGGTCGTCTTCATCTACTGGGTCAAATGGCTGGTCAACAGCAGGTGTTGCAGGCTGTGCAACTGACGAGGCCGTTTCCGTTGATGGTGAAGGCACCCGCCCTGCAGGAAACACTGTCTCAGGAACTCTGAATATTGTTAAGCCGTTTGCAGCATACAGTGAGTTGAGGGTTGTGACGAACATACTATTGTCTGACTCAGCAAAACACAGCAGAGCAGGTATCAGACCAGCGTCTGAAGTAGGTCGATAATTGGGATGCTGAAGACGTTGGGTCCCCAATGAGGTGGCTGGGAGGTCCGTGGCCGGAAGGCCTCGCCTGGCAGAACAGGAAAATCTTCTAATTGGTTGATGGGTTCTGGAGGGTTGGGGCGGGCGCTGGCTGAAGCGGCGTCTCTGGTGGTGGAAGAAGGTCTCCTCGTATCAGCCATTTTTTTTATCTTCTCTTGTCGACGTGGGCAACGGTGGGAAATAGCGACATGGTAATCACCGCAAAGCAGACAACGCTGAATATTCCGCCTTGCAAATGGAGTAATGATGGTCTTCTGCGCAGACGCTGCACTTGCTAACGCGCTCCGGACAATCCTTAGTGGAGTGTGTATACTTGTAACACTTGAAGCATTGTTGTAGTTCGTAATAGCGTTCCTTCTTGATCATAGATGATGGAATCTTGACTCCCAAGCACTTGATCCATTGAGTGGCAGCAAATTCCGCTTCAGCTATGGTGGCGTAGGTCAGCTTCATGGCCGCGTTCTTAGGGGTGACATGGATGTTGGTTGGTACCCACGTGGGGGGGGGGGGGAGAGGGGGTTCTCCGCTTCAATTGCGTCCACAAGTTCTTGAAAGTGTCGGTTGAAGAGCCAATTGTTGGATCTCCTGATGAAGACCAATCTCAGCAAGGTAGCGGCGAGAGAATTCAGAGGTGATATGCACTTCTCGGAGTGCATTGTGGATGGGAAGTGATTCAAAGTGGTCGATGTTATCCTCCTTTGAGTAGAAGAGAATAACCTCCGTATCCTCCTGAAGGAAATCAACTGGCGTGACGTTGGTGGAGGTGGAGAGGCTTTGCAGTAGGGTGGTCATGCTGGACGCATGGTCGTCCCAAATGGTCGCCCTCAGTCTCTCTGGAAGGTTCTCTTGGCTTTGTGGTGCATGATACCTCTCGATCAGTACCAGGCCAACTAGACATTACTGAAGAAGGCCTTCCGTCTCTTCCCGGTATAAGAAACCAGATTAAAGCGTTCCTGTTTGTTGTCTAGCAGAGCGGATACGTCTGCTCCCGATGATCGCCAAGTGAAGAATTGTTGGAAGTATTTGTATTTGATTGATTGATGAAGATTAAGCCACCCAAAAGGTGGCACGGGCATGAATAGCCCGTAAGTGGTGGCCCTTTTGACCCATTAGCAGTATCAAAAGATGATACTGGAGATCGGTGGAGGCGCAACTGCACCCTGCGTGACGGGAGATGTCTCCCGGACCAAATGGTGACCAAATGGTGAGTATTTTTAAAAGTTTCTTTTGCTTTATATATGAACGGAAGCACTGATGCTAATAAATATGTGGTGTGTTATGGAAATGCTAATATAGGTTTGTTAGATATTGTTATGATCTAGCTTGAGTTTAGTGGACAACTTGATTTGGTAATTGAATAGTATTTAATTCGACGTGGTAATTGTCAAAACAAACTATAAATAAATGTGTTTACTATGATCGATATAAGCTGTTTTTCAAAAGTAAAATAGTTACCCACTGATTGCGGCCCTTTTCATTAATTTGCATATTTTCGGTATAAAAAATCGTAATTTAAAACTCCAAATATGTGAATTCTGCTAAAAAATAATGTCCAAGAGTCATATTTCCGATATTTTGAAAACTGTAGGTCAATTTGGGAAAATTTCGCCCATCGGCGTCATCACTAATTTGCATACAGTTATTTTCATATATTCGGTATAAAAAGTTGTAATTTAAGAGAATAATTACATGATACAACAACAATAAAAAATAAAATAGAATTAAAAATAGAGATAGAGGGGAGTGAGAGACAGGAGTGGGGGGGGGGGGGGAAGTAGACCCGGACAGAGCCGGGATCTCCCTAGTCTATACATATAAGGGTGTTTGTTTGCCTGTCTCTCTGTAGAGCGTTAGATGCCAGGTGCTTGGGGCGAGCCTCACCCAACTTTGCAGGGTGAATGGTATGGAGTATGGGACAGATATAGGCTGGACGGGTCCGGTCACATTGGTCATGTTAAAACAGGGTCGGCCCTAATAGTGACCTGACCCCCCCCCCCCCAACATGATCGATGAAAGGTAACTGGCAGAGTCCCTAGAGTTATTCACTGGAAATAATGAATGTGAATTCATTGTTACAGTTACTGAGAGAGAGAGGGATAGAAGGGGGGGGACGGGGGATGGTGGAGTGGTTGGGATAGGGGAGGGGAGGAGGGAGATAGGGTAGAGAGGAGAGGGAGAGTTTGGAAGAGAGGTGGGGATAAGGAAAGAGAAATGAGACAGAGAGGGAGATAAGGCATGGGATGAAAGGGAGGTGAGAGACCCGAGCGCAGCCGGGTACTCCTTCTAGTAGGGTTATAAACCCATGGAGCCGCCTACCTGCCGAAGTCGTAAATGCCGAGACATAAGTACAGCTCAAAATCCAATTGGTAAAAAATCATTAGGAAAAATGGGGGGGGGGGGTTGGTTACCTTGAGGTGCTTCCGGGGCTTAGCGTCCCCGCGGCCCGGTCGTCGACCAAGCCTCCTGGTTGCCGGACTGATCAACCAGGCTGTTGGACGCGGCTGCTCGCAGCCTGACGTATGAGTCACAGCCTGGTTGATCAGGTATCCTATGGAGGTGCTTATCCAGTTCTCTCTTGAACACTGTGAGGGGTCGGCCAGTTATGTCCCTTATGTGTAGTGGAAGCGTGTTGAACAGTCTCGGGCCTCTGATGTTGATAGAGTTCTCTCTCAGAGTACCTGTTGCACCTCCGCTTTTCAACGGGGGTATTCTGCACATCCTGCCATGTCTTCTGGTCTCATGTACTCACCTAGTTGTGTCTGCAGGATCGAACATTGACTATTGGATCCCGCCTTTTGAGCATCGGTTGTTTACAGCCGATGCCTTACATTCAGAACCCATGTTGATGTTTGTTCCCAAACCTAATGTTCTCCAGGTGTGCAACCAGTCGTAGCCTAATTATTCTTTCCAGTATTTTACAGGGGATGCTTGTCAGTGACACAGGTCTATAGTTAAGTGCCTCCTCCCTATCACCTTTCTTGAAGATCGGCACGACATTTGCCTTCTTCCAGCAACTGGGTAATTCTCCCATATCATCATCATGTGATGTTATTTCTGTGTGCAGGTTTGGGACCAGCCCCTCTAATATTTTCCACGTGTAAATTATTATGTATCTCTCCCGCCTGCGCTCAAGGGAGTACAGTTTTAGGCTCTTTAGTCGGTCCCAATAGTTTAGATGTTTTACTGAGTGGATTCTAGCAGTAAAGGATCTCTGCACGCTCTCCAGGTCAGCAATTTCTCCAGCTTTGAAAGGTGCTGTCATTGTGCAGCAGTACTCCACTCTAGAGAGCACAAGCGTTTTGAAAAGTATCATCATCGGTATAGCATCTCTAGTGTGAAAAGTTCTTGTTATCCAACCTGTGTTTGGATAACACAGGTTGGGAGTTTGAAGTTGGGTTATTTGAGGGGGAGTTTGAAGGAATAACCCTCCAGAGTTATTAGGTCTTGAGGTCTTAAGGTCATATAGGTCTTAAGTCCAACACCAGGAACACGTCCAGCATCGAGAGCAGTACAGGTCCTGAACCCGGACAGTACTGCTGGAGGCCCGGTTCCCGTCAATAGGATGGCTGCCCGTTTTAATCTGCTTAAACAGACAGGAAATGCACAATGGACGGTTGGAAGAGTCAACTGGTCTGGCGTTCCTAGTGTGACGAGGCTGTCGAGGTCACCTCAGGTAAAAGGTCACCTCAGGGAGGGTAGTGAAGCAGTGAAAACTGTGTGTGTGTGTGTGTGTGTGTGTGTGTGTGTGTGTGTGTGTGTGTGTGTGTGTGTGTGTACTCACCTAGTTGTACTCACCTAGTTGTGTTTGCGGGGGTTGAGCTCTGGCTCTTTGGTCCCGCCTCTCAACCGTCAATCAACAGGTGTACAGATTCCTGAGCCTATCGGGCTCTGTCATATCTACACTTGAAACTGTGTATGGAGTCAGTCTCCACCACATCACCCCCTAATGCATTCCATTTGTCAACCACTCTGACACTAAAAAAGTTCTTTCTAATATCTCTGTGGCTCATTTGGGCACTCAGTTTCCACCTGTGTCCCCTTGTGCGTGTTCCCCTTGTGTTAAATAGACTGTCTTTATCTACCCTATCAATCCCCTTCAGAATCTTGAATGTGGTGATCATGTCCCCCCTAACTCTTCTGTCTTCCAGCGAAGTGAGGTTTAATTCCCGTAGTCTCTCCTCGTAGCTCATACCTCTCAGCTCGGGTACTAGTCTGGTGGCAAACCTTTGAACCTTTTCCAGTTTAGTCTTATCCTTGACTAGATATGGACTCCATGCTGGGGCTGCATACTCCAGGATTGGCCTGACATATGTGGTATACAAAGTTCTGAATGATTCTTTACACAAGTTTCTGAATGCCGTTCGTATGTTGGCCAGCCTGGCATATGCCGCTGATGTTATCCGCTTGATATGTGCTGCAGGAGATAGGTCTGGCGTGATATCAACCCCCAAGTCTTTTTCCTTCTCTGACTCCTGAAGAATTTCCTCTCCCAGATGATACCTTGTATCTGGCCTCCTGCTCCCTACACCTATCTTCATTACATTACATTTGGTTGGGTTAAACTCTAACAACCATTTGTTCGACCATTCCTTCAGCTTGTCTAGGTCTTCTTGAAGCCTCAAACAGTCCTCTTCTGTTTTAATCCTTCTCATAATTTTAGCATCGTCCGCAAACATTGAGAGAAATGAATCGATACCCTCCGGGAGATCATTTACATATATCAGAAACAAGATAGGACCGAGTACAGAGCCCTGTGGGACTCCACTGGTGACTTCACGCCAATCGGAGGTCTCACCCCTCACCGTAACTCTCTGCTTCCTATTGCTTAGATACTCCCTTATCCACTGGAGCACCTTACCAGCTACACCTGCCTGTCTCTCCAGCTTATGTACCAGCCTCTTATGTGTGTGTGTGTGTGTGTGTGTGTGTGTGTGTGTGTGTGTGTGTGTGTGTGTGTGTGTGTGTGTGTGTGTGTGTGTGTGTGTGTGTGTGTGTGTGTGTGTGTGTGTGTGTGTGTGTGTGTGTACTCACCTAGTTGTGCATGCGAGGGTTGAGCTCTGGCTCTTTGGGCTTCTGGTTTGGTTTGGTGGTTGTGTGGGTGTCAGAGTGGTTGTGTGGGTGTCAGAGTGGTTGTGTGGGTGTCTGAGTGGGTGTCTGAGTGGTTGTGTGGGTGTCTGAGTGGTTGTGTGGGTGTCAGAGTGGTTGTGTGGGTGTCTGAGTGGTTGTGTGGGTGTCTGAGTGGTTGTGTGGGTGTCTGAGTGGTTGTGTGGGTGTCTGAGTGGTTGTGTGGGTGTCTGAGTGGTTGTGTGGGTGTCAGAGTGGTTGTGTGGGTGTCTGAGTGGTTGTGTGGGTGTCTGAGTGGTTGTGTGGGTGTCAGAGTGGTTGTGTGGGTGTCTGAGTGGTTGTGTGGGTGTCTGAGTGGTTGTGTGGGTGTCTGAGTGGTTGTGTGGGTGTCTGAGTGGGTGTGTGGGTGTCTGAGTGGTTGTGTGGGTGTCTGAGTGGTTGTGTGGGTGTCTGAGTGGTTGTGTGGGTGTCTGAGTGGTTGTGTGGGTGTCTGAGTGGTTGTGTGGGTGTCAGAGTGGTTGTGTGGGTGTCTGAGTGGTTGTGTGGGTGTCTGAGTGGTTGTGTGGGTGTCTGAGTGGTTGTGTGGGTGTCTGAGTGGCTGTGTGGGTGTCAGAGTGGTTGTGTGGGTGTCAGAGTGGTTGTGTGGGTGTCAGAGTGATTGTGTGGGTGTCTGAGTGGTTGTGTGGGTGTCAGAGTGGTTGTGTGGGTGTCTGAGTGGTTGTGTGGGTGTCTGAGTGGTTGTGTGGGTGTCTGAGTGGTTGTGTGGGTGTCTGAGTGGGTGTGTGGGTGTGTATAGGGTATGAG